ATGTTTGGATTGATGTTCTGAGCCTATATTCTGTGAAGCTTTGGTGTTCAGTGGTTATTTAGTATAGTTCATGCATTAGGGTTGTTGTTCGAATGTAATAGGGTTTGAGATTCTTCGATCTGTAACTTTGTGCTCGATCTTTTGTATAACAACGAGCCAATTTAGGTTTATGTTAAGAATCATCAATCCTTTCTTCTGATCCTGGCAAAAGCACATTTTTGCATATAAGATTTTTCAAGAAACTTGAAGCTGACTTTTACAATAATCTATATTCACTAATGTACATCAGCTTCTTAACTAGTTTCATGTGAAATGAATGTAGGCCGCCAAAAGGCAAAATGTCCACAAGATGAATGTAACGAAATAAGGATGCTAAGATAAATATGTAGGTATATTAAAATTGATAATTAAGAGAAGATGACATGTTTTGCGTAGATTGGCAGAGGCCTGCTCTTATGAGTGATGCAAAGTCAATTGAATATGTTCGAAGAGGGAGGGGCAAGAATTAAGACGAACTCAATTTTTTAAGAAAAACATTGACATGGCTTTGTTACACACAAGGTGTAAGTCAAGAGCGGTTCGACTGTGACAAGAATCAACGATCGCATGAAGTGTGACATCCAGCTTGAGTGGTCAAACAATGGCTTCATTTATATAATGATCACGAATCATTCCTTCAGTTTTAAAATCGACGGTGAATATTGTTTCGTCAAATCCATCTTTCTCATCCAAGTTAAAATCAGGTTGTCGTAAGCAACGCCCTAAATCATTATTAGACCTATCGAAGATCTAGAGCAACTAGATCCTTATCAGCTATTACAAGCCATGTTAGTCGACCTATTCTTGTTCTCACTTATAAATGAGAACCTCTTCCGCGCAAAACGTGTCGGGTCTCGATACCCGATTTGCCATTTCCGTAATTAATCTTTGTATTTTCTCATTTCCTATGTTCCCCATTTTAGTATGCAACATTCATCTTCATGATATTTTGTCCTTTAGTAGCCTGAGTGAAAAGCAAAAATATAACTTTTTCTTCCATTTAAAAAAAAAAAAAAAAAGCTACTGCACGAAACAACGGACTAGATTTTTCCTTGGTTTGACAAAAATGCGAACTTATCAAATACGCTACAAAAACAACTTTTACATTTAACTTAGTCATGAAATAACAACGCACCCTACTTTTTTGTTGGGTAGATGCATCCCAACTGAAATGAGAAACATTGCAACTTTTTTCTCCACTTTAGCGCAATCCGCATGTTTTGATGCCTTGAGATTACAACTTGTCAAGAACCTGATGCTCACTTTTGCACAAAATCCTAATGAAAATTTCATTGGAAATTCATTATTATTCCACTGATGTCATTTTGATTCCATTCCCATAATCTGTCTCAAAATTCATTCAAAAAAGTAAATTTAAATAGTGACTTTATGGGAAAGATTTTATCTTGAACCTCAGTATGTTTGATAATTTTTTTTTTTTTTTTACTTTCAAAGAAAATGATAAAAAATATTCCCCGTAAAGGAGAAAAATTCCGACCTGCCGGATTCGAACCAGCGACCTAAGGATGGCTAACAGGATATTCCCACTACAGTCCTCCGCTCTGCCAACTGAGCTAAGGTCGGGGTTGTAAGATTTGTTCCTAAGTTTACATCCTTAACAAAAATAGCGACAAGTTGGTTCACTTTTAACAAGTTAAACCTAATTGCTAAACTATATTAATCAATTGGAAAAATTGGTACGTACATAGATTTGAAGTGAAGTTTTGAAAGATAAGTTAGATTTGGAATCTTGAAAATTCAGGCATTTCTCTCGATACAACCCATTTATTTGCTTCTGTTTGAGCTCCGTTTTTTTCAAAACTTATTTTTGAACGACATATTCTTTCATAAAATAATTTTACGTCTAACAATAGGGTATATTTATTTATTATGTAAAAAGGCAACAACCGTGATATCTTACAGAATCATAACTTTCTCTTCAAATAAGTTATTAAATTAACGTTGAAAATTGTTATTCCATATTTTGGTGGGGGAACAAAGAAAGCGTTCCTAATGTGCTTCTGGCACTTGAAAATAGTTGAGCATTAAAATTTGATACTGTATAATCATGTAAATAATAATTTATTATTTCTTTAGTTTAATAAATTTATTATGGATAATTGGCGCAAAACGTCCCTACCTATGACGGGTTGTGTGGAAAACGTCCATATCTATGATTTTTTGGTGCAGAACGTCTCTACCTTTACATTTTCTTGCGCAAAACGTTATTTTCACCAATTTTTAACATAAAATAACAATTATACCCTCTTATATA